ATAGTTCGATAGTGTAGAACTTTGTTAGCAACTATAGTTTGCTCTCATCATTTTAGCCTTTGGACATGGATAGTCAAGATACTACACTTGTTATGTCATCTCAAGCGACTAGCTCACGAAGACGACCGCGAGATGAAGAACCGCCTGCACCACGACGACGTCGGAGGATACCGAGCAACAGATCGCTAGTAATTGTATTTGAGGTCGAGCCTGCCTACGACGGTCAGCCAGAAGGTGTGTTTGGAGGACAGTTTCACAATGAAGACACAGAAGTCCACGCTTGGTCAGAGGTTGAAGGTGTTGGTCACTACCGTTGGCTCCAAGGGCCGATGAATCATTTGCCTCGCGAACAACAATTGGAATTCATAGCGGATGTGATGCGATAGATTTTCATTTTCTTGCGTTGGTATTGACTGATAACAACATTGCTTCTCGGAGACCTCGAAGTTAGAAGAGGAGGTGATGTCATGGACATACATTGGAAGATTCTTCGAATATTCTTCTAGAATATTCTCTAAAGATTCTCTAAAGATTCCTTTAGAAGGTTCTAGAATATTCTTAGAATATTCCCTAAAGATTCTCTTAAAAGGTTCTAGAATATTCTTAGAAGGTTCTAGAATATTCTGATAGATTCTAAGAAGTTGCTCGAGAAGTTTCCTAATTTGTAGAAGTTGTTGGAGAAGCGTCCTAGTTAGCGGAAGTAGCTCGAGAAGCTTCCTATTCAGTAGTATATATAGGAGTCGAGGCTGAAGGGTTCTTCAGTCTCGACAACACATCTCTTGGAGTTCTAGCTCACCTTTCTGGTGTTGTTCTTGTACTCATCTGTTTAATCTAGTTCTGCCACTTCTTCTTGAATTTCTTGTTAGATTTCAAGTCTGTATTTTGTGTCCGTGACAGCTAAGCATCTTCGTTTTTCTGAATAAACGCACCCCTAGGCTTGATAATACGTCGATTTTGCTTCTTGGAGGAGTTTCCAACTTTGTGGCCTTCTTCACCGCAATACAAGTATAGACCTTCCTCCATACGCCGCTTTTTTTTCTTCTAGAGTAAGAGATTTGATACGTACCGCATCAATTTGCATGTCTTCTACCTCTGAATGTGAATTCACGCTGCTTGCCGACATAGTTGGGGTGTGGCGAACCGTATGTTGTCTTGAACGTTGGTCTTGGCGACGTTGGAATAGGCGGTTAACGCACTTCACAGCTTGGCTAATAGCTTCGTTGAGCGTTTACGGATCAGAAAGAGTTAACAACAAATCCTTCACATCGTCCCTTAAACCCCAATAGAATTGACTCATCAACGCTTCTTTGTCCCAATTGATGTCGCATGCTAATTGCCTGAAGTCCGATGCATAGGCTGATGTAGAACGCATCCCTTGTCGTAGTGACCGGATCTTTGTTGTAGCCCATCGAACCTTGTCGTGTTCACCAAATGCTTCCGCAAATGCCTCCAAAAAGGTTTCAAAGTTGTTTAGTATTGACGATCGTTTCTCAAACAAAGGAACAAACCATGATAGAGCTTGTCCTGTAAATAAGGTTCCAACAAGCCCAACACGCGACTCCTCCGTTGGATAGCGTTCGGGCTGTAAAACTGTTATCAACTTGATTTGGTTGATGAATCCTCGAAACTTGGAACGTGTAGCATCGAACTTGTCCGGAAGGCTAATTCGGGGTTCCTTATGTTGTAGAACCAGTGGTGCTTGTCGAACCTGAGGCAAAGTTGCTTCTCGAAGTGTAGAAGTTTGAGGCTGGTGCAACCTAGATTGTGCCATTTCAGATGCTCCATCATTATGAAGCCTTGCCACGACTCCTTCAATCTCTGCAATTCTTTGTGATAACGTAGCGAGGGCATTCATGATAGCATCTAACTTGGACTCCGAACTTTCCGTCATACTAATGTCTTGGCCCCCGACCATTCTAAGAGAAGGACAGGAATGACTCTACAAGAAGACAATATTGGTTTAGAGGAGGGTACTCCGCAACCTCTAAAATGCCTTAAGAGCTTCAAGAAAAGGGGTAATCCACTCTCTACAAGAAGAATAAGACTCCAATATTGTAACAAAAGAAGTATCAGTTTAGAGGAGGGTAATCCGCAACCTCTAAAGTGCTAGTACGCTTCCAAGCAGAGGAGTAATCCACACTCTAACAAAGAAGAAACTAGCTCTGATATCTGAGGTGAGTGAAGTCTCGACAAACTGTCACGGACACAGAATACAAACTTGATATCTACCAAGAAGTTCAAGAAGAACTGGCAAGAACTAGATTAATCAGATGAATACAAGAACAACACCAGAGAGGTGAGCTAGAGCTCCAAGAGATGTGTTGTCGAGACTGAAGAACTCTTCAACCTCGATTCCAATATATACTCATATTTAGAAAGCTTCTCAAGCAACTTCTACCAACTAGGAAGCTTCTAGAAGGTTCCAGAGACTTGCTTCTAGAAGGTTCTAGAAACTTATCTCTAGAAGGTTCTAAGGACTATGTCCCTAACATCTTCTACCAACTAAGAAGCTTCTAGAAGGTTCCAGAGACTTGCTTCTAGAAGGTTCTAGAAGCTTGTCTCTAGAAGGTTCTAGAAACTTGTCTCTAGAAGGTTCTAAGGACTATGTCTCTAACAACAAGATAATCTTAATAATTGTCATCTCATCTTTGAATTTCTTTATAGTGCATATTGATTTGTGCACAATGGGTGGTAGATAGAAGTATGGATGGAGTAATGCTGAAGAAGAAATTGGAAGAAATAAATGAGTTTATGAAGATTGTATTGGAGGGACTCACTACTTCATTAGAGAATATGGAGAATATGGCATGATCATATACAATCCATTGCATAGATTTAAAACATAGGTTATACGATTTTAAGTCATGGATATATATAATTGGAAAAATTTCTTAAACACCCTTGCAATTTTCTTGAATATCCATGTATTCTTGAAAATCACAAAAACTGCCCCTGATAAATGTGATAATATTTAACCTACCCTGATCCTGATAAGCTATGAAAACAAAAAATCCGTTTTTAGTTCAAACTGGGCCCCAAAGGGCGTGCCGCGCACACTTCGGCACGGCACTGAGCGGCTTTTCTCGCTTTGGCCTGAATTTTACGCAGAAGTTGCCGCTGCTCGCCAGTATGGGACGGTCGCCCAGCCCTCATGCTCATGATACAGCTTAGTACCCGCAGCAGTCCCACGCTCCACCCCCAGCCCGAAGTAGGTTTGATCAGAACAACTTCCCTCTCAAAATGCCGCCTTCTCACAACAGTATCAACATAAGTAAATTTTAAATTCCGTCTTGGAATGTATGAAATTGTTAACATTTGATCACATTTTTTATGTTGTCATCTCTGAAATCACCAGCCTCTGCAAACAATTTCCATGACATACTTGTAGATAAGTTGTGGCCCCTGAAGAGCGCGCCTGGTCTAAGATTCAGCAGACTATACATTTTACTCAAATTGGATCTTAATTGGATTTTTTTGGGAATGAATAATGAATACGTCTTTTCTCGATTTGGCCCAAAAATGTCGCCGACGCTGCAGTTGCTGCTGCCGATGCTCGCCCCTAGTTGGCCGCACAATTGTCCGCTGCATCAATATATATACATATACATATATATATATTGTGCTTGTTCTTCTAATTCTTCACTCATCGGCGCCTCCTCCTACTCTCGACGTCTTCACTCCTTATGACAAGTTCTTCTCTTCGTGCTCTGACTGATCTTGGTTTGTTCTCTGACTGTTCTCTGTTCAGCTTGTTTATTGCCTCTATATGAATTGCAATACTTTGGGTATTCCCGGTAATGGAATCTTCCTGCTTGCTGATCTTCCTTATGGGGATGAGTGAATCTGTCGACGATTCAAAAGGCCACCTCGCGTTTGGGTTTTTCTGCGGCCTTGGAGGATGGTGCCCCATCCGTTTTGAGGCTGTAGCTCTGCCAGTTAGCCTTCCGTCCTGACGTGCGTGACTTCCGGGCTTTTAGAGAGAGCTCGGTGTGTGCAGTGCGGTACATTGTGCACAAGGCTGCTGTAGTGATGAACCTCAAAACATGTGACGGGTTTTGCCAAAAGGAAGATGTAATTGAACTCCGGCTACTATCTGTTCGTTTCATGTGTCGTAATATCCCAACAAATCATGTATCGAATAGATGACATTAAGGTGCTCAATTCAGCAGGTTCAAGGTTTCAATGCTGTGGCAGGAGCTGAATCAGCAATTTGGTGCTCCAGATTTTCGCTGTTTTGTTCTGCTTTTAGAATTTTGAAAACACGTGTAGTTGTTTTGTTTCCGCAGTCAAAGAATTTCTTATCCTTTTTTTTTGTCGTTATTTTCTCTTGTTTTTTTTCCCCCCTCCTTTTCGAGTGCATCCAGGCAAAGATCAGACGTAGGCCTTTTAGAATGTTTCATCATGTACACCGAATTACCGCTCGATAGAGAATGGCAGGAGCACTCAGCTACGACTGTTGATCAGCTACGACCCGAGGCGGTGTCATCGTCGAGGAAAGACGGTGCAATCAACAAAGTGTTTTTTTCTTGTGTAGAAGTGAGAGAAACGAGGACTAGGCGTTTCCACCTCATTTGCATGACGCGTGATCGCGTTGCCACCCCCAAATTCAGTCTCTCCTATTATCATTTGCAACTGTTGGGGAAAGAGGGAAGTTATCGATCAGTTACCCAAACAAGGTTGAAAGTACCTCTCGACAACCACTTCCCGAGCACTAGAGGCTCGCACAGCAGCTTTGCGCAGGAAAAAATGTCGCCTGCTCGAACCGCAGCTTCTAAATCCATGATGGGTTGTAAGATTTTCCCTGCCAGGAGAGGTTCTGTGGCTTTAAGGTGCTCGACCAGCTTCACTGCATGTGCGTGGGTGCGGTTGCAGAGGAGTACCGTGTCCAGCGACGTTCGAATTGTTAAGTGGGAACTAGATCAGTTGCGGGGCTTATGCACTTTCAACTTTCGGGCAACTGATCGATAGGGTAACGGTAGGGGAAAGAGGCAAGTTATCAATCAGTTACCTGGCTTGCGACACATATTCACCGTTTCGAATCGAAGTTCACCGTTCTAACCATCAAACCAGCGGATCGATATCTCCAAAAGGAGAGGCTGATCAGCTTGTCCACATCCTTCATGACAAGTCTCGTCTTGCCCGCATGACATCCACGAGCAAGTGGGTTTTTTTTTTTTTTTTTTTTTTTTTGTCTTCTTCTTCTTGCTTACAGTTTTTGTCGGGTCTCCGAGAGAGGAAACACATTTCATCTGTACTAAGGTTTCCAGGACCGACTTTGCATGCAACAATAGAACTTCATTGAGCATTATTGCACGGAGAATTATGGGGCAGTGCAAACAAGCTGATCTTGATTTGTAGACAAGATATCCATCAGCCGGTGACAGCTCACACGCAGGGGGGATATCAGAATTATCTTGGGCTAGAAGCGGCGTAATAGAAAACTTTTATGTGTCCCAGTTTGAATTCCCTTACCTTTTACTACATAATCAGTGTTTACTGTAAACACATTGTGCATATACCATCCATTTGATATTTGATCCATTAATTTTTTTGATATAATTGTATTTTTGTTTTACATATTAGTTGACAAGTTTTTTTTTTCAAAAGCTTTTCGAGCAAAACTTATATTTCAAGTTGTCACCGTCTTTGACAGTGGATGTTGTTTTTAGTTCTAGTAACAAATTGAAAGAAGCAATATCTAATGATGCAATTAGCAAGCATTATAAAAAAACCATTATCAAATCTGACCAAACAAAGTACATTGTGAAGTGTTGCAACAACAATTGTAGATGGAGGATGCCTACATCACAATTTCAATCAGCATGTATAAGTAATTTTATCATTTGTACAATCCTATTGGAATACACATATATTATTGCTGAACACTTTGGCAATTCCCATAGTAGCACAAGTTGAATAGCGGGCAATGCGAAGAGCAAGTTAAAAGACATACCACAATACAAAGTTGTGGATATTCAAAAAGATATTTGATATAATAAGGCATTACAATATTGTATTTGATGCCATGGTGTCAAAGAGAAAAGACTATTTTTGAGCTAATTGGCTCCTATGAAGATAGCTATATTAATTTGAAAGCATATTGTCACCAAATCAAGACAATGAATTATGGAGGATATGCAAAATTAGAAGTTGATGAAGAAAATTATTTTCTTCAATTGTTTGTTGCCTACAATGCAAGTTTATATGGCTTTCAACATCTTTGGGTAATAACACATGCACCAAATACTCTTAATTTTAACATCAAATTGTCAAAAGTTTAGGATTTATTTGAAGAGGCTATAGAGTACTTCATGAGCACTAAACTACGATATTGGACATTATCACAGTTTGACAAAAACCAATTTGACTACATAACTTTGAATATTACAGAATCTCTCAACTCTTGTATCTTAGAAGCACATGAAATGTTGTTAATTTCAATGTTATAAACAATTCGTCAGCAACTTATAACATGGTATAATGAGTGATGTATTAGTGCCAACTCAATTATAAGACTATTGTCAACTAGTGCATAATAGTAGAGTAAATGGTCAATAACATTTGCATGTGGCTATTGCATCATTTCTTCATCTATTACTATCTTCAAATGCATGTTGAAGCAATCTTGTAATATCTTGGATTTTTAAAATGACACATATGCTTGTAATTAGTGGTAACTATTTGGAATCCCATATATGCATGCAATTAGCATTGTGTTATTCATGCAATAATCAATTTTCGATTACATTGCTTGCTTTCATATTATTTAAGCCCAATAAGTAATTTATGTAGTAGCTATTATCTTGATATCATCCATTGAGAATTAGAGAGTATTAAGTAACAACAAAATTGATGTTGATTTGATCCTACCACCCTATAAACAATGTCCACCTATCTGCCCAAAGAAGCATTACATTTGTAAAGAGGATATGGAAACAATAAAAATAGTGTTTAGATATAGTTGATGCAAGAGTATTGGACATAATCATTCAACTTACAAAAAACCAATGTAGTAGCATCGTTGAAGTGCCACTTAATGCAATGTTTAAAGATGTCATGTTTGTGAGAGAAAGCTATTGTAGGGCTTACTTGTAATCTTGTAAAATCAAACTTAGACATTTCAAGGTTTTGAATCTAAATTTTACCAGTTCTAATTTTCATCTACATGAATCTATATATAATACATTTTTCCCAAATTTTCTAATATGCCCAATCTTATATGTTCCATTTACTAATTTCATCCAACAATAGGAAAGAAGATAAGTTCTTCACATTATTATTTTGAATAATAAGATCTTGATTTTTAAGAACATCTATTACAATTTTCACCATGTTTTTAATCTTCTTCAATATTTATATAATTTCAATTCAAGAAAGCTTAATATCATCACAAATATATTAAACTTTATTATTATTATTATTATTATTATTTTGTATTGAGACTTATATTTTATTTATTTATTAACATACCACTTCTTTTTTTCTCAAATGCTTTTCAAAAGATATATATTTTTTTGAAAATCTAACATGATATATAATTTTGAATTCATATAATATAAAATAAAATAATATATGAATTTGAAAACATGATTTGATACATGAATATAATGTTTATGATATAATATCATAGATATTTGAATTGAGAATTTATATAACAATTTGGTAGAACTGCAATGTTTTTTAGGAAAAAAAATGAATAAAAGATATCATGGTATCTTAATAATAAATCTTCAGTTAAAAATAATTTATTTTATTAAAATTAATTTGCAGAAAATTTTAAAAATATTTATTAATATTAATAATTAAAAAATAATATTTAATATTTTTATTTTTATAAAAAAAGTTATAAATACCATGTACAAATCATCTTCAAATTTTCCAAAAGTTTTTTATATATTAATTAATTTTATTTTAATATTATTTCAGAATAAAATAAAATTACACTTGATTTCCTACTATTTTTAATTTCAAATAATACATATTTAATTTTTAAAACTATTATATACATATATATCATATATGATTATATTTTTAATATATTTTTTATTATTTTAAACTGCAAATTAATTCAATTAAAAATTTGGTAGCATACAAGATACAAGAAATTCAAAATAAAGAAGATATGTGGTTAAACAAATCCTTTATGCCCTGCATAGTGTGTATGGGACTTCTTATTTTACATTACATAAAAGAATAATTTTAAGAATATAATATAAAAATGTGATAAAATATTATTATTATTAATTCTTATACAAAGTTACAATGCTCAATATTACTTCACCAAACATTACAACAATATTACGTTGTCGTAATACGTGGGATTTGATTTGAGTATGCACAAGGCACTTGGCTGTAGAAGATAAAAGGAAAATTGTAACAATAAGTCCTAAAAACTCTAATAGATTCTTAAAAAAATTACAATTAAATATTAGCAAGTATAATCAAACACCAATAAAATCCAATTAAAATTGAAAAAGAATTATATAAGAAACACAAAGTATTCTTAAAGATCTTTTAAAGAAATCATAAAGAAATAACATAGAAATTCAAAAATATACTAAAATAGAAATCTTAATAAAATATTAAAATAGAAATCTTAATTAAATCCTAGTCAAATCCTAATCAAATCCTAAATAAATCCTAGTCAAATCCTAATAAATCCTAATCAAATCCTAAATAAATCTTAATAAAATCTTAATCAAATCCTAAATAAATCCTAACCAAATCCTAATTAAATACTAACCAAATTCCAATAAAATCCTAATAAAATCCTAAACAAACCCTAAACATATCCTAACCAAACCCTAAATAATCCCAAGTAATTCCTATAGCAGATTTAAACCTCAATAACTAATGAATGAATTGTTGATTTTAATTCAAATTTTGCACACCTCTTCACAATTAAGTTGACAACAAGTACAAAAGTTTTGAAGAAGATCGAACTCACCAAAAAGAAGATCAACCTTAATATTTGCATGGATGTTGGCTGCCTCCTTCTCCAATCTGAATGTTGAATTTCCAGTGCCAATATCTCCTTATTAAATTGTTTAATTGATCTGAAATTTCTTACATATGTAGAAAAACAAGTCTAATACCTACACATGTAGTTTTCACTCTAATTTAATTGATAGATTGCAAGAAATCTTAAAAAATCTCATTGGATCCAAAAACTCTACTTTCCGAGATCCCCACCCACTTAAACCTCAATAACCATCGATCCAACCTTTCAATCCAACTCAAATTCACAGCATATATTGAACACATATAAATCTACAAACTTTCAAAATTTCATTTGTAGATCTATTGCCAAACTTACAAAATTCTCCAAAAAATATCACCCACTTTATTTCACAAATCCAGAGTCACTCAAAACAAATCCCAGTTTTGCAAAGCTCTTTCAAAGTCAATACAAATCCAAATCATCCAAAACCAATGCTCATCAAAACCTTATCAAGTCTGCTCTCTAATTCCACTCTCCAATCTACCAAAGAATCCTAAAATCGCCATCGAGGCTTGATTTTGTGCCTTGGGATCTGATTTCAACCTTAGTTCATAACTCGCCCTCTCTAGGTATCAATATCTAGTTTTTCTAGGTAATTTTTGCTAGAATTTACTCTTAACTTCTTCTTAAAGATGCTTATATCATTTTGTTTTTTTTTCAATTTACTTTGTTTTGCATTAGTTATGGTCCTACTAAGTAAGTAGAAGTCACTTTTCTAGAAAGGCAGTATTACTACTAAAATTTTTACTACCTTCCTATCTTTTATCCATATTTTTTTACTTTATCTTTTAACTTAGCTCTTTTATGATAAAATCCATATTATCATCTTTTGCCATATAGTTGTATTACAACACAACAACGTAAAGGTGGATAACATATATATCTAATATTAAGGCATTTTTTGTTCTTTATATTATATTAATGAAACCTTACTAGATTTATATTTGATCACTGAGAGCCTTCAACTTTATCCTCCTTGAACTATGGGCTATATGTTTATTACTTTGATTGTTTAAAAGACTAGCATTTAAAGACTCACTAGATGATGAGAGA